TCTCCTTTCTGGGTTCCATCTGACCCCCTTCAGACCCGCCTCCCACATCCTCTACTTCCTCCTACCCACTACATGTCCCTGTCAGCCCCCCTGTCAGACTGATGAACTGACAGGGGCTGACAGGGGAAACTGGCTGGGACTCTGGGCGATGGTTCCTTCACCAGTTGAACGTGGCCCCAAGGCCAAGAGGCTGGCTCAGGGGGTGCCACAGTTGTCAGCAGGGCCGCTGGTTCAGCCAGCCCCTAGGCTCCCACCCTGGTGCCTCTGCAGCCCCCACGACCCACACTCTCCCCTGTCCTGCTGCTGGCCCTCAGCAGGGTCCCTGCTCAGTGTGGTGTGAGAGTGTCTCTCCCCGGCCAGCAGACACTCCTTTGGGACAGGGGCAGCTGGGGAGGAAGCCCCTCAGCCCCCGTCCTGCACTCCTGGAGCCTGGCCTCTTCCAGTGTGGACAAGAAGCTGTGGGGTCGCTGGTCCCCTGAGGCTGCAGGTCTACCCTGAGTTCCAGTGCCTTGGCGTGGCAGCCGACTGGGGGTCAGGAAAGTGTGGCACGACCCTGCCGTGTTTGTGCCGAGCACTGCAGAAGGGAGTCGGGAGGACAGGGAGGCTTTCCTCAGGGGTCATGGCCCTGTCACACCCGCCTCCACCAGGCAGACCCTCCTGCCCTTACCCTTCTGCCAAAGGCTTACGGTGACTTCTACCCCTGACTCCTTACTCCCCCTGCCACGCGCCCCCCAGCCACCGTCCCCCCTTTCCCTGCTTCCTCCAGAGCTACTGGGGTTAGACTCCTCGTGGGACAGTGCACCCGCACCCATCAGGCTGGGCTGCCCTCCAGACTCATTGACTCCAGCTGCTCCTTCCTGCTCCCCTGCCCCCCCCCCACTGTGTCCCCTCAAGACCTCCCCACAGGCTACTCCCCTACCAGGGACTGATTGACACCTGTGACCCTCTGGGCCACCCCCTCCCTCCCCAGCCCAGTCTCACTAATTCCTGAAAAGTCTAGTTCTGCCATTGTCCCGGAGGGCCAGGTCCAGGTCACTCGGGCCCAGCCTGACACAGTCCACCTCACTATGTTGCTCTTGCATGGCCGCCAGCAGCAGCTGCTGCCCAGCCAGTTCCTGATCTAGTGCTAAAAATATCCCCAGGATCCAGACAGGAAGGGCCAAGGGGACACAGCTGCGGCTGGGAGGGGCTGGCTGGAGTGGGGGTAGGAGGAAGCCCACCCACTGTGGTGGTGGGGGGGGGGCGGGCGTCCATTTTCTGGAAGTGGCTGGCACCGTGCTCACAGAGGGAAGGCCTCTGTGGGGGGAGCCCCCGGGGTCAGCGAGGGACACCATGCACTGTGGAAAGGGAAACCCAGCCGCCCCCAGCGCTTACACAAACACCTTGCTAGTGATGCACCTCAGTGTGTTAGCACAGCTAACTGTCGCTTTGGGATAAAGCACATTTTAGAATGAAGGGGTCCGGAGAGATCTATAGTAAGACACTTGCCTTGCGTGCAGCTGACCCAGGTTCAATTCCCGGCACTCTTGAGTCCTGACAGGAGTAATCTCTGAGCACAGAGCCAGGAGTAAGCCCTGAGCACTTCTGAGTACACACCCCATCCCCCACCAGAAACTGTGAATTTTGTGTCTCTTTGGGGAAGACTTCTTGGAATTGGGGCATTTCTTCCCACCCTTTCTTCCTTTCTTAAGAGTATTTATGTGGGGAGGGAGGAAAGGAATGAACGGGCAGATAGGTGACGCAGGAATGAAGAAATAAGTGAATGAAGAAGCCAAATCTGGAGATGTCCCTTGAAGAGCAGAGCTGAGGCCCGAGGTGGCAGTGACCCTGATGCAGAGGACAGGGCTCAAGAGCTGCGGGGTCACCAAGTCCACAATGAGGCAAGGCAGGGATGACCCAGGGTTCCAGATTGGCACTGGGGGCTGGTAAGTGTCTCTCCTGGTGTGTGAGGCTTATGAGGAGGAAAACAGGCATGGTGGGTAAGTGGGGGCTGGAGGGGGTGGTGACACTGCCCAATCACTGGGACAGCCTGGCTATTTAGGGGTGTTCTATAAGTGGGGAGCCCAGGGCTCCTTGCTCTCTACTCACAAAGCCAGCAGCTTGGAGACAGGGCCCACTGGTGCCTGACAAGGGACCACAGGGGGAAGTCCTGGAGCTCTTCTTTTTTTTTTTTCTTTTTGGGTCACACCTGGCAATGCACAGGGGTTACTCCTGGCTCTGCACTCAGGAATCACCCCTGGCGGTGCTCAGGGGACCATATGGGATGCTGGGATTCGAACCCGGGTTGGCCGCATGCAAGGCAAACACCCTACCCACTGTGCTATTGCTCCAGCCCCATGGAGCTCTTCTTGCCTTGCATGTATGAGACCTGGGTCCCACCCTGACACCACACACACACTCTCATCAGGGGAGAGAAGCGGCAGGTCCTCTGCCCAGCTGCTTAGCACAGCTGAGTCCAAAGTGAGAATCCAGCATTGCTCATGCCACCAGGTCCCTGCAGTGTGTGGTCTTAAGACTTTGCTCCACTTGGGGCTGGAGCAATAGTACAGCGGGTAGGGTGTTTGCCTTGCACGCGGCCAACCGGGGTTCAATTCCCAGCATCCCATATGGTCCCCTGAGCACTGCCAGGGGTGATTCCTGAGTGCAGAGCCAGGAGTAACCTCTGTGCATCGCTGGGTGTGACCCAAAAAGCAAAAAAAAAAAAAAAGACTTTGCTCCACTTGTAACTGCTGGAAGTAGCAGACATCAGAGAAGTGAGCCTATCCTGGGCCTGAGGCTGGAGGGGGAAAGAGGTATGGCCCACACCCTGCCCTGCTCCGACCCAGCCTTGGTTTCCTGCTTCGAGGACAGGAGCCTGTGAGGAGATACGCAGCCCCGGCCTGCCTCTCTTAGCTGGCTGCCTCCACCTGCCCCGGGCTCTCAGCCTCCCAGGAATGTGCTTCTCAGCCCCCAAACCAGGCGCCTGTCTTATCGGCCCCCATCGAAGGGGAGACAGATGCCCCTGCGGACAATGACAGCCCCTCCTGTTAGCCCCGGCCTGACCCTGAGTGGAGGGTCCGCCAGTGCCTGCTAAGTGCCTGCAGGCAGAAATACCTCCCCTTCCCCAGGCCGACAGGAAACCCGACCTCCACTCCCCAGCTTCTTCATGCCAGGCAGGCGCCAGCCCTGGTGTGGGGGGGTAGGGGGGCTGGATCCTGGGCCTGCTGCCACGCCTCCATCTGGATGCATTCCGCTCGGCCTGGCTCCCCTCGAACGTGACCATGGCCTGGCAAAGTGGAAAGCAGTGGCTGCCTAGAGTCCCTTCACCCGTTCCTGCCCTGAAGCCTGTCAGTCCCTGGTCTGCCGAATCAGACCAGATCTCTCTGCCTTTCTCCAGAGCCAACTGCTCTTCCCTCCCTCCCCTTGAGCCGAGACTCACCGAAACTCCCCAGGGGACCCCCTTAGCGTCCTTTTGGAAGCCTCATTCTCTTGGGCTGAGGTAACTTTCTCCACAGAATTTCCTCTATTCCTGCTTCCTTAGGGGACACCCTGGGGTCCTCTCCAGAGTATCTGTTCTCTTCCACATGTTTGTCCATGAGAAAGTCCCCCCCCCCCACACACACACACATACACTGGTGGAGGAACTTCCACCTGGCCACTTTTTTTCCCTTCATGCCTGCCATCATCTGAGTCACTTGGCATGGCTACGTCCCAGAGTGCCTTCCAGGCTGCGTGTCCTGGGCTTCTCACCATCTTGCTCGCTCCAGAAGCCATTTCCTGTTATCGCTCAGTCGCCACCTGGCCTCCTTGGGCTGGCTGCTGATGGGTGAACATCAGTTGCCCTGCACTGGCCTTTTTTCTTCTCCATTTGCCTCACCCCAGGGCCTCCCCTGCAGCTGCGATGCTACCAGTGCCTTTGGTCTACTGACGACAGACACCTACACTGGGACCGAGGCTCACCGTCTCTCCCAGCAGCACCATGGAGCCCCTCAAGCAACTGTCACAGATGATGCTCTAAACAGAAATGCCTGATGAACACCCCATTCACCTGCCTTTCCCCCAAGCGGTCTCCACTTCCGGAAAGGCGACTGCCGTTCCCCCACTGTGTTTCAGGTCTCGGACTTAGCCCTGGCTGCCTTCACGTCTCCACCCAGTTGGCTGACAAATTTGCGTCTCAACCTGCTTCAACCTCTAGATTCTGTCCCATCCCTTGCACGCAGCTTCCTGCTGCTCCCTGGCTCCTCTGTTAGGCCACAGCCTGCACGACAGCCACAACAGGTTTTTTAAGCGACGATTAAGCATCACTTCCTCCCAGGGTCTCCTCAGATTTCCGGACTGCAAGAGACAGTCTCCTCTGTCGGTTGCTGAAACTCCCTCATCTGCAACAGTTATCTGGCAAGGTTGTTCAGTGAACGATTGACAACAAATAAATGAAGAGATGAAAAACGGGGACAAAAATGACATTTCCCACCCAAATCATTAAGGTCCTCTCCGGCCTGTCCACTTGAGGGAGACTCACAGGTGCCAAAGGAGGGCCAACAGGGCGGGGACCTCTGGGGGAGGGGCTTCAGGCGCGGCTCAGTGTCTCCGCTGCTAGGGACGAATGGGGGTCGCCGGCCCACGGAGGTGGACGTGCAGGCAGGACAGATGCACTCAGCCCTTGGGCGCGCCGGGCTCCCGCCCAGCCGGGCTCCCGCCCCCGCCCATTTCTGGCCCCGGCTAACCTGACCCAGCCCTTTCTCCACTAACCGCGCGCTTTCTAGTTCCTCCACCAAGCAGCTCGGTTTCCGATTGGCTACAAATTCTCCCGCGTTGTCTCCGCAGCCACCACAACAATCGCCACGTGCTCATCCGTGGGGCGTGCTCATTGGCTTCCGTGCTCCACCCGCCCACATCCTGCCTTCATCCTCCCCTCCTACTGGCTAGAGGAACCGAGGTCCCGCCCCCTAGCGCTGCGCCTTCGTTGTGGATTGGCCCCATGGCAGAGCGAGGCGGGACCTGGGGGCGGGTTAAAAAGCAGGTAGGGACACGTGTGTCAGAGAAGGTTCAATGGCGTGGCAGGGTCTGGCTGCTGAGCTCTTGCAGGTGCCGGCGGTGACGCGGGCCTACACCGCGGCCTGCATCCTCACCACCGCCGCCGTGGTAAGCTCGCAGGGAGGGTGGGGGCGGTCAGGGTTAATAGCTGGGAGGGGAGAGGGGGTGGAGAGTCTGTCGTTATGGTTACGGTTGGGTTGCACCTGTCTCGCCTTTGGCTCCGCAGCAGCTGGAGCTCCTTAGCCCCTTCCAGCTCTACTTCAATCCGCACCTGGTGTTCCGGAAGTTCCAGGTGAGGTCGCCCCACTCTTAGCATTTGCCTGCTAGCGCCCCTCCGCCCACACTTGCCACGCACCTCACCGCCCGCCCTCCCCCTTGCAGATTTGGAGGCTTGTCACCAACTTCTTCTTCTTCGGACCCCTAGGATTCAGTTTCTTCTTCAACATGCTCTTCGTGTATCCCGCACCGCGCAGACCCAGGGGGCTGGGGGCAAAGGTGGACACTGCTGGGTGGAAGGTGGTGGGGAGCTGGGAAACTGAGGCTTGGTGGAGCTTCCTATACTAACACCCCAGGTTCCGCTACTGCCGCATGCTCGAGGAGGGCTCCTTCCGGGGCCGCACCGCTGACTTTGTATTCATGTTTCTCTTCGGGGGAGTCCTGATGACTGTATCCTTCCTGAGCTCTACAAAAGCAGGCCCCTGAGCCTTGGAGCCCCAAGTGGGCACCAGGGACTGGGAGAGCGGGGCCTCTGTTCCAGCTTAGGATGCACCATGCAGTGTGCACCTTGCTCAAGTGGCAGATGTGGGCAGATGCTGGGGCAAGATCTTCAATCCCCTACAAAGACCCACAGGGGGGATGCACACCAGAGCCAGGTGGGATGCCTGGGGCCTGAGCCCCGAGGACAGTACCCAGGAGCAGAGGCATGGGTGGGCACAGGATGGGCGAGGGAAACAGACAGCCCATCACTGGGGCCCAGGTTGATGGAGGCTAATGAGGGCAGAGGAACGAATGTAAGGATTCTGGGGCAGTCCCAGGGGCCTAAGCAGGTCTGCCCTGAGGGATGCCTTCCAGCACCTTGACTCTGGCCCAGCTGCTGGGGTTCCTGGGCAGCCTGTTCTTCCTGGGCCAGGCCCTCACGGCCATGCTGGTGTACATATGGAGCCGCCGCAGCCCTCAAGTGAGGGTCAACTTCTTTGGCCTCCTCACCTTCCAGGCACCTTTCCTGCCCTGGGCACTCCTGGGCTTCTCGCTGCTGCTGGGCAATTCCATCCTCGTCGACTTGCTGGGTGAGCCTGGTTCTCTCCATCCCACTCCAAACAGGTGCTCTACTCCCCGAGGACCCTGGTGCCCACCCCAGACACAGGCACTGGACTCTCAATACCTGTTACAGGTGCTAGAATACATCAGCCAGCCTGACTTGCTGATGTGTGTGGTTCCTGGTAGGCATGTGTGTGCACGTGGGGGCGGGGGGGGGGGGGTGCGGGGCGGGGGAATGGACAGACTCTCTACTGGTGAGTCCAAGTTTCCAGTGAAGGCGCCTCCTCCTTGAACCCCCAGGTCCTACCCACTCATGAGCCAACCCTGCCGTGTCTGGGGCTGGAAGTCTGGACCTGCTCTGGGGCCTGAGTTTACTCTGGCTCTGCCTGGGCTCTGGGCTGTGCAGAGCCTGGATCAAGCCATATGGAGCATGGCCATAGCAGTGTCTGGCTCTTCCACAGGGATTACCGTGGGCCACATCTACTACTTCCTGGAGGATGTCTTCCCCAACCAGCCTGGCGGGAAGAGGCTGCTACTGACCCCTGGCTTCCTGTGAGTGATGGAGAGGACTACCCTCCCCCATCTGCCTTCTGTCCAGGGTCCCCTGCCGGCCTCTGCTCAGCACAGTCCCCTTCCCACAGGAAGCTGCTACTGGATGCCCCAGAAGAGGACCCCAATTACCTGCCCCTCCCGGAGGAGCAGCCAGAACCTCCGCAGCAGTGACCTGGACCTAAAGGCCTGTTTCCCTGAGCTCTGCATGCTGAGCCCATGTCCAGGTCCACCCAAATAAACAGACTCACCTGCCATCTCTTGCCACCGGCACTGGCTCCCCTGCCTTGGCTGGCCGCACTGTCCATGCTGGGCCACAAGTCTGCCTGTCTCCTGCCCATGAACCAAGCAAACACTCCAGCTCACAGAGCCCACCAGTCTCCAACTCAACTGGGCCTGGACTCGTCACCTCTGTTCAGTGCTTTTCACTGAAGTCCAGCTGACCCCAGGCAGCGAGGACAGGCGGGAAGCCAGGGAAGGGCCTGCCCGCAGCTAAGGTGTTGCTGGCCTGGAGCTATCCTCAGAATATAGCTGCATGACCCGCTCACTCAAGCTTATCCAGGAGAGCCACTGTGCCATCTGAATGGGTCTCGTCCTTCTGGGAACAGAGGGGACGGCAACCCAACAGGCGAGCTGGGAAGAGAGCAGGGGGAACTGCCGAGGAGCCAGTGCACGGCCGGGCTGTGAGGTGTGCAGCGCTGGGGAATGCAGGGAGAGGTATGAATCCATGGGATCGGATGCCGCTGAGTCTCTGCAGTGTGTGCTCAGGACGCAGCAGAATCGGGGACTGTATGACCGCCGCCTTGCTCAGGAAGGCCACGCATGGGGCCGGGAGTGGGGCGGGAATCCTTGGCCCCCTACCCGCCAAGCTCGCCCCACTGCTCAGTTCCTCTTCCACAGGGAGGAGCAAAACCCACCAGGAGAGAAAACCAGGGCTGAGTTCTGGCAGGGTCTGGCAGGGATGGAATGGAGAGTGGAGCTGTGAGACCTGCCACCACTCAAACACCCCCTCTCCCCCATCCCCTCCCCCGCCACTGCCTTGTCCTGCTAGGGCTCTGAGATGCCAATGCCATACCACCCCCCGCCAGGTTCCACTTCTTGTTCATCCCTTGTTTTCATGCTGCTACCTTGAAGAAATAGAACATGACCTGTTGCCTTTTATTGAAAAAGTGTTGCAAGCCCCGCCTGGGGCTCCTATACAAAAACCAAGCACAACCCCACACGAGGCCTCTTCCTGACCGGTGGGTGCTGGGAAGTGGGGCTCAGCAGGAGGATTGGTGCCTGGAGGGTGGGAGGGTGGGGGTGGTGGTGGCGAGGGAGGCCCCTTGCCCTCTGCTGCTCAGGACAGCCCGGCCACCCCCTGGCCTCCCTCCTCGCCAGAGATGAACAAGAAGAGGAGGGTCCGTCTTCTGAATGCTCTGTGGACATTGAGCGCACATGGTTGTTACCAGGCTGGGGCAGTGTTGGCCAGACGCCTCATTCGTCTAAAGGAAGGAAAAGGATTGTGGTCCAGGCGGCTCCAGGCTCCAGGCAGCTGCCTCCCCGCAGGCAGGCAGATGTGGCCTTGGGCTCAGAGCCCCGCCCCCACCCTGCCCAACTCTCCAGGAGCCCTTAGGTAGGGTCTGTGTGTGGTCCTGTTTGGACACCTGCCCTGGCAGTGTGATCAGGTCTCATTAGGAACCCACCCAGAAAGCAGGATGCATGTGGGGAGAATTCTGGTCCCTCCCCTGTCCGGAAGACGGTGCCCCTGGGGAAGATACCTGGTGTTCCTGTCCTGGTCCCGAATCTTCTTCTCCATCTCGGCATCCGTCAGGGTCTCCAGCAGAGGGCACCACTGGTCAGCGTCGCCTGTGTTCCGGATGGCGATCTCCACAGTGGGCAGGGGGTTCTCGCTGTGGGGAGCATGGACGGGTGGTTCAAAGAGCAGCAGCTAGGAAGGCCCCCAGAATCACAGTGCTCTGCCACCCCCACTCTGGAGTTCTGGAACTGGGACTCGGCAGGAAGGCCTGGGTGTTTGGCGGCAGCCCCTCAGCAGGACTCATGAGCGGGCTGGCCAGGACGGCTCCTGTCATCAGAGCCTCCAGAGATGCCTCGACCTCCCCTGGCAACAACAGACCCCCCCCAACCCCCCGGCCTCCTGGGCCTCGCTTCAAAGCAGACGCTCAGCAGAACCGGGGATGCCACTGCTCCAGCCGCCTTAGCGTCTCCTTGTCTGGGAGACTGGGAGGGGTGTGTGCTGTGGAGGTGGTTCCCCCGACAAACTGGATCCCAGGCAGCTGCGATCACAGCCTGGGGGCAGGGGGGAGCTGGCAGCCCACTCAAGTCTGGGGCCAGAAGGCACTGAGTAAAACTAGGTAACGTCAAAGAAGAGAACAAGGGGTCCCCCCAAGTCCTTGAAAGCTTTCCTGGGAGGGGCTGTAGCTGCTCTGCTCTTGAATGGTCAACATACTTGCTGCTTAGCCCACTCTGTGGGCTGGAGCGATAGCACAGCGGTAGGGCGTTTGCCTTGCAAGCATCCAACATGGCCGACCCGAGTTCGATTCCTCCGCCCCTCTCAGAGAGCCCAGCAAGCTACCGAGAGTATATCGCCCGCATGGCAAAGACTTGTAAAGCTATCCATGACCTATTCGATAGGCCAAACACAGTAACAACTGTCACAATGGAGATGTTACTGGGCCCGCTCGAGCAAATGGATGAACAGCGGGAGGACAGTGACAGCCCACTCTGCCTCAGCCTGGTTAAAGCTGGGCTACTTACTATGACAAAGAGCTGGACCAGACCCTCAGTCCCCTAACTACTCCAGCCTAGTCCCTTAGCACCGCCCCCCCAATACACACACACACACACACACACACACACACACACACACACACACACACACCAGAAGACACATGGAGAGCCCACAGTCCTCCCACCTCAGACCGTCTTCTCCAACCCCTTCTAGCTGCTGCCACTCTGCAGCCGCCTGGTCTTTCCTGGCTCCCCCAGCTGGGTAGGCGGCCAAGCTCCTGCTGGCGACTCCAGGGCCACCGACTTGGGCAGCGCCTGCCACGGGGGGCCCCCAGCCGACCCCCCCTCGGCAGCTCCTGACAGCTGTTCTCCAGTCAGTGGGGACGGTTTGGCAATCCAGGAACTACCCGGCCACAAATCCAAACATCCTTCCTCACCTCGAGGGAGCCGTGAGGGGCCAAACCCACGCCAAGGGGAGCAAAACATGTTTTCCTCTTAATTTAAACAAGAGCTGCTGAGTGGAGGCCCCTTTGTTCACCTCCTTTTGGCTCCGGGAAGATTCCACTCCAGTGGTTGGTTCTAAATTAGGAACTGCTCGAAACAACATGTGAGAGGGCCTGGAGCTGGCAGGCCTGACTCGGGTTTCTGGGGAACTCTCAGAGACTCCCCACCACTCCCCGAGGGGCTCTGCGGGGTCATTTCCTGATCTCACGGAACTCCAGGCCTTCCTTCCACTCCCCCATGTCGCCCCAAGACCCCACAATGTCAGTGGGGCCCCAGAGTCGATGCTTGGAGATGTTCCTGAGCTCATGCTTGGCGATTCCACTTTGACACCCCCATGTGACAGGCCAGGCCAGCTGAGGAGCATTGCGCAGCCGGCCCGTCCACACAGCGAGACCGAGGGAAAACAAATGACTGGGAGGAGAGGAGACCACAAGACGTCACCCTCCTGTTTACTGGACAATGGTGCCAAGTCCGTGGCACTGGCCCAGATCTGCATTAGGCAATGGTCTCTTAGGTATGACACTAAATGTGTCATAACAGCACGAGCAACATAAGAGGAAAAAACACAGACCACATGACAATCGAACACTTTAGGCAGCTCAGTGGTGGAGCATAGCTGTGCAGGAAGGAAGCCTGGCTCCCAGCCCTGATACCCCCAAAGTAATGACAAGAAATGAGAACTCTACCCTTCAAGGGGCACTGCCAGTCACAACAGTGATGACAACCCACAAAATGAGAGACTCTGCTGGCAAATGTGATAAGGGCCCTGGATCTAGGGTCTATAAAGAATACCGAAGATGCAGAAACGAAATGACAATCCAACTGAGAAACAGACCAAGAACCTGAATGGCCATTTCCCCAAAGGTAGTCAGTTGGTTAAAAAGCACATGGGGGCTGGAGAGATAGCACAGCGGGTAGGGCGTTTGCCTTGCACGCGGCCGACCGGGGTTCGATTCCCAGCATCCCATATGGTTCCCTGAGCACTGCCAGGAGTGACTCCTGAGCGCAGAGCCAGGAGTAACCCCTGTGCATCTCCAGGTGTGACCCCCCCCCCCAAAAAAAGCACATGGGAAGATGTCCAGTCTCAACCGTCTTCAAGGAAATGCAAAACCAGACCACCCCTCTCCCTACCAGGATGGGAGGCACCAGGAGGGGCCAGGAGAGGTTAAGGCTGGGGAGGTGGCTCAAGTGGCCTTGTCTGTTCCAAGGACCTGGGTCCGATCCTGTGCACTGCACAGCCCCCGAACATCACTGGAAGGAGTACCACTCCTTCCCCAGAGAGGCTCAGGTATAGCCGTGCAGCTAAGAGAAAGACTGACAGCTCTCCAAACTGCCGCAGTTACCAGATGACCCCAAAATCTACTCTGAGGTCAACACCCAAGAGAACTGAAAAGTGCTCACACAGAAACTGTGTACTAGTATTCACAGCAACTCCACCCTCTCCTGGAGAGGGGCTCACACTCAGCAATGCTCAGGGCTTATTTCCTAGCACTGTGCTCAGAGGTCACTCTCAGTAGTGCTCAGGGGACGAGATGGGAATCTGGGAATTGAACCCGGGTAGGTCACATGAAAGGCAAGTGCTCTGCCCACTGAACTATCTCCAGTCCCGCCATCTATTTCATTTTTGCAGTGCTGAGGGGTGGAACCCAGGGCCCCACACATGGGAGGCCCATGTTCTACTCCTCAGCCACAGCCCCACGCCAGCAACACGACACAATCAAGTATGTATGTCATTTGGATGTTAGCTGTGGTGTCACCTTCGGTGGAGCACTGAGAGCCAAATGGTGGCAGATACTGAACCCAGAGCCTTTTTTGTTTCAGGGCCATACCCAGCAGTGCTCAGCGGTTACCACTAGCTCTGGGCTCAGGGATCACTCCTGGCGGTGTTTGGAGGACAACAAGAGATGCTGGGGATCAAACTCAGGTCGGCTTTGGTGTGTGCAAGCGCTACTATTGCTCCAGCGCCTGAACCCAGTGCCTTGAACGTGAGAGGGAGGATAAGTTTTTCCACTTAGCCCACGGCCCTGGCCCAGCAGTACAGTTTCTGATAGACCCAAACTGCAAATGCCCAGCAGTAGACGGCAGGCTGGTAAGGCATAAAAATAGGACATTTCTCTGCAGGGCAGAGGATGGGACTCAAGATTGAGCAGTTGGTTTTGTATGTGAAAGGTCTTCTTGGGTTTGAACTTGGCCAAAAAATAAAAATAAAAAGCTCTGAGTCCAGCTGCCACAGGGCATGTACCATGAAAACACTAAGCTAAAATGCTAGTTACTAAAGACCAGTATCTTATCTCAACCAAGTATTCTGAAGGAAACTTTTATACACAGAATACTATTGGCTGTCCAAGCCTGGGAAACTTGAGGCTGGGGGTGAAGATCATATGGTGTGGGAATTCTTTCTTGGAGTGGTAAAAACATTTTCAAACCGGCTGTGACAGTTGTTGTACAACTCTGCAAAAACACCGAAATTCCATGTAGTCAGCCATGAGGCGGGGACTGTACATGTCAACGGGGACTCAGGGAAGAGGTTACAAACAAGCAAATCTTGTCATCAAGTTCCACACCTGCACCTCTGCCTGTGCCTAGTCGCTGGAGCCCCCTTTCTTCTGCATGCCCAGCTTAGGGCCTAGGGCTGGCAACTCTGCAGAGGGGACTCGCCCACCACCATGCTCATCTCTCCTGCTCCTGCCCGGTTCTGCTGGTTCAAGGGTAGCTGTGGGTTGTTTTTGAGAAGCTCGGGGTGCTCCTGCCATCCCTCCTCTTGCTTACTCAAAGGAGACCCTCCTGCCCACTAGCAGCCCGACTTGTGGACAGACTTGTCTCCCCCATGAACCTCCACCCAAACAAGGCATCCAGCTGAGAGCTGGGCTCAGTCAGGGAAACAGACAGGATGGCTTGCAGAAGCCCAGAAAAGCCTCTTGGACGGAGGCAGGGGCCAGGCCTGTGCGAGTCAGAGGGGGCTGGGGCCCCATGCAGCACAGTGGCTCCGGCCCTGGGGACACAGCTGCCCCTGCGCCTTCTCTAGGCAGATACGAACAACTCGCACACAGAGACTGAGAGCGCGGGGGTGGGCTGGCGCTGGAGGTGCCTGGAGCGATGTGAAGCATCAGGGAGCATGTGAGCCTGGGTATCCTGAGCCTGGCACCCTGCAGGGGCTGCAGCTCTAGTCCCTGCATCCTGGGGCATTCAAGAGACCAGTGCAAAGAGCCCAGGGGCACTGGGCAGCAAAATGCCCAGAAACCCTCCTAATGCCCAAAAAAGGTACTCATATATACCAGCCCAGCACCCCTAGAGGGCTGCAACTCTCTTGTCTGGCTGGCCGCTGCAGAAGCGGGTGGGAGAATCGTGCATACACAAATGTGCACCCCACGCGTGCTGGAGTATACGAACTGGCAGCTGGGCTAAGTAGGGCCAAAAATGCAGCCAGCCCTGAGCTACATGGTGCTTCTGACCTCCCCGGATGTTTGAGAAGAGCCTGACAAGCTGGGTCACCATCTGGGGCCCAAGGCTCCTCCCTCGCCGTGGGCCTGGGGAGGAAGCAGAACCACCGAAGAGGATGGAGGTGACGCACATGCCACCTCGGCCTGTCTGCCGGGAACACAGGCGGTCCTCAGCTCCCGGGGGGTCAGCCGTTTCCCAGGGCCAGCACCTCCTGGCCCGTGGACTGAATCATTCCTTCTCTCTTGCTCAGTTTTATAGGAAGTCAGAAAAATCTGGTCTCATGGGATCTCTGGGAGAACCAGCCGAGACACAAACATACTAACGAGCTCGATGAACTGTCCTCTTTTAGCCAGCAGACCTCTCTGCTCTGGCCCCTTTGCGCGCCACTTTCGGCTTCAGTGGCTAAGTAATGACCACCCATGTGGCCAATAAGTCTGGGGTGAGGTGAACCCCTACACCCAGGCTGGAAGAGAGGGAGAGCACCCTGATACTACTCAGTCTACCCTTATCCAGTTTGCGGGGCTGCCACCCAGAAGACAACATCTACCCCTCAAGGAGCAATGCCAATGAACCAGAACGTTCTGTCTATTTCCACCTTTGCAGATTAAGGGTCTGGTTCAGGGTTCAGGGTCTTGCCACTGAAAGACAATGAGACGCGACAATGAGCAGAGGAGCTGAGGAACCAAAGTTGAGTCAAAGGGCTGTAACCTGTGTGAGAACAAAAGTCTGTCAGCTGAGAACCCTTCTGGGTGCCCCGATGGATGGACCCACCAGCAGGGCTGACCAGACGTAGGGCGAAGCTACAGCGCCCCAGCCCCAACGCGCGCAGCAAGCTGTCCCCATCCGCGCAGACCTGCAGCGAGTAGGCGGCCTACCTGAAGGCGTAGGTCTTCTGATGCCAGCTCAGCTGTCCCCGGATGCTGTAGGCAATGGTGGTGACAAACTCCCCGCCGAGCCCCAGCTCGGAGCACAGCTTGAGAGCAAACTTCTCTGGCGAGTTCTCCTTCTCAGACATGTCCCACTCGAACTGGTCCACCAGGGAGATGTTGCCCACATGGATGTTGAGCTGCGTCAGACCAGAGAAGTGAGAGGGGCTGGACTCGTGACCTTCACAGGGAGCTGGACAGCTGGGCAGCCTGATCCGGAGCTGCCCAGGACTCACCACCTGGGAACCTTGCTGGCTCATCCTTCTGCCCAGAGCGACTTCTCTGCACACAGGGTACAGCCCTGAGGGGCTCTGGCTCCAGTTCAGCCCCAACACACTGCCCGTGAAGTGACAGCACGGTGCCCGTCCCACTGCCCTGTCCCCCAAACTGGACCATCTCCATCCTGCCTTTCCTCCCCATGGGCCTGGACCTTCCAAGGTGACGACACTGGTGTCCCTCACCAGCTGCTATCCTGGGGCCCTCTCCTGGTCCTTGACATCAAGACTAGAGTAAGTCACAGATGATCCCCCAGCTTGGCCAGCCTACAGGGCACATGCAGGCAGTCGGAGAGGAGAGCAGAGGCAGCTCCTGCTCATGGGCCCCCACATCCAGAAGAGGCTCAGGCTGGCCCTGTGTGAGCTGCATCCAGGCCAAGACGTTCACAGCTGGACCCCAGGGACCTGGGTCAGCATGTACCTCACCAACTGACTTGTCCCCCATATGGACAAGCCCTGGCTGTTCCAAATGTGGGCTTCCGCACTCACCCAGGAAGAACGTTCCACATCTGTCTGCATTCATCAGACACCATACCATGTTCATGAGATTCTGTCCACTCCTGTCTAGTAGTCTGCCATGTGGGAAGGCCATAGCACCCCTGCCCATTCACATGACCATCTCACGGTGCTCAGCTGAGCTGTTTTTTCTTTTTTTGGGGGGGTGTCACACCCAGCGATGCACAGGAATTACCCCTGGTGGTGCTCAGGGGACCATATGGGATGCTGGGAATTGAACCCGGGTCGGCCGCGTGCAAGGCAAACGTCCTACCAGCTGTGCTACTGCTCCAGCCCCCTGAGCTGTTTTACCTTGACAGAGGCCACAGCCAGTGATGATGGTAGGGAGTCCAGAGCTACTCCCCAGGGTACCCAGGGGCCACTAGAGCCACACGGGGGACATGTGGTGTTGGGGATGAACTCAGAACCTTGTTTTATCACTTGAGCAATTTCAGAGGCCCTTACTGCTGTTTTCCTTTATGTTACCGGGAATCACCCAGGATTCCAACAGAGATTCTTTTTTTTTTTTTTTTGCGTCACACCTGATGATGCACAGGGGTCACTCCTGGCTCTGCACTCAGGAATTACCCCTGGCGGTGCTTAGGGGACCATATGGGATGCTGGGATTCGAACCTGGGTCAGCCACGTGCAAGGCAAACACCCTACCCACTGTGCTATCACTCCAGCCCACCAACAGGGATTCTTGACTCACTTCAGCTTCAGCTCAACTTTCACACAAGAATCATGGTGGGCAGCAGTGGTGCTGTTCTGAGCTGAGTGTGTGTGGAAACTTCTCCTGGCCCCCATCCAGTCCTGTTCATAAAACTCCAAACCTCTGGGCCCACACGACCCATTCTGCAGTCAAGCCTCTCCTGTGTGCTAATGTCCATGCAAGGACAGGAATGAGGGTTTGTAGAACAGAATTGGAAGAGCAAATGTGGGGAGCCCACACAGCACACTGGGACCAAGAGCAGCAGGTGTTACAAAGTCACACCAGTCCCCAATGGATAGCAGGTGCCACTATCCCCAGGGGCGACACAGAGGCATGGGAGGGAATCTTCTTGGACACAGGGTGGTACTGTGTGGACAGGGTTCCCTCCTGTGAATTGTTGATGACAGCTTTCACTTACCAAAAAACAAAAAAACAAATCACAGGTCAGGGAGAACTCAATAGGCTGAGTGCATACTTTCATGCAGCAGGCCTGGTTTTGATCCCTGGCACTGTGTGGTCCCCTGAGCAGCACTGGAAGTGACCCCCAAGTACAGAACTGGGAGTAGCCCCTAAGTATCACTGGGTGTGGCCCTGAAAACAAAAAACAGACCACAAACCCTTCACTCCTACTGCCAGGAGCAATCCCTGAGCATGGAGTTGGGAGTAGCCCCACATCACCACCGGGTGTGGCCCCCAAAGCAACAACAGAATTAATTACAGAGGCAAAAGATACAAGGGGCAAAACCAGACAGAAAGTCTTCATGGACGGGCAGTCGAGGGAGAGATCCTGCAAGCTGACAGGGCAGAGACAGACAGTGCTGAAGAGGAAAGAGGGTATAGCAGGGCTTGGCGGGCCGGCTCCCAGGGGAGGTGGCATTTGAGGAAGAACTGAATGATCTGAGAGAGCAGCCACGTGTTTCCCGGGGGAGGGGGCAGGGAGGGGCCCTAACTCAATGCCAAGGCCCAAGGCGAGGAGGATGGCCAGGGGTCAGGGTCAGGATGAGGGGCCTGAGGTTGTCTTAAGGCCGTCAGCTTGCCAAGTGCTCTGGGTCAAGGAGAGATCTCTGTGGCAGCAGGGGGCTAAGAGGTGACTGGATGCTGCAGGGCTCACAGACCACACAGGGTCAGAATCAAAGTAGCCACAAAGCCTACACAGAAATATCAGTTCTATTTTTTATATATATACTACAGTAAATAATCTGGGGGAAAAATAAAAACTTGGCAGAGGCTGGAGTGTTAGTACAGTGGGTAGGGTACTTGCTTTTTGTGTGGCCAAATCAAGTTTAATCTCCAGCACCATGCAAGGGTTCCCCAGTACAACCAGGAGTGATTCCTTGAGCTCAGAGCTAGGAGTAAGCCCTGAGCACTGCCAGGTGTGGACAAGAAAAACAAAATTAACTAAAGACGCCAATGAATGGAAAGCGTATCTCATGCGCGTGGACTGGAAACATCTAACATTGTTAAGACATCAGGACTATCCAAAGGGATCAACCAATTCAATATAATCCTTATCACAATCCCAACAATATTTTTGGGGAAATGAAAACATTCTAAAATTTGTTTGAAATATAAAGGATCTTAAATAGCCAAAACATTTTCAAAAGAACAAAGTTTGAAGGATCACACTTCCTAATTTCAAAACAGATATATAGTCAATAAGCACACTAAAAAACTTTCACACCATTTATCAATAGGAAAACACAAGTAAGAAAAGCAGCTGACAGGAGGCAGGCCTGGGTCCCAATCCCAGTTCGACCGGCCCTTCTCAATGAGGCCGATAACGCAGCAGGTAAGGTACCATCTTCCTCCAAGTCAGCAGTGGAACACTGACTGGTATAGAAAAATGTGCTCAGCTCAACCATGGGAAAAACACAGCAGTGGCTCCTGTGGGCTTCCCACTCTGCCCATCACTGGTTTCACCTCCTTGCGCCACTCGGGTTCCGCTTAGTGCCCCCTGAACGCATCCAGAATGTGAGACCTCATTTGAAAAGTTGGCCATGACCCGTTCTGGGCTCAGCTGAGCCACTTGCTACCTAAAAGACCCTTTCCAGCTGTCCTGCCCCCTAGCACGGACCTCACAAAGGCTCTGCAGAGGACTCGGTGGAGCCTCCATATCTAATGTGACCCCAGGCTAAGGAAAGCCCCGGTGCCGGGTAAGGAGCGGCTTACCTTGATGATGACACGCTGGTCTGACTGATCCTCCAGGATGCTGTCTGTGGGGTAGGACTCAATCTGCTGTCTGATGGCAGAAGCGATAGCTGGCACAAAGGTCAGTGGGTTCAAGTCCAGGTCATCACAGAGGATTTCTGAGAACATCTCAGGGGTCATCAGCTTTTCTGAAACCAAAGGAGAGGAAGAAGTGCCAAATGACTGTGCATGGCCCAGGTGACCAGCCCCCTTCCTCCTGGACACCTTCCTGGTCAGAGATGAGCGTGGGAAGTCTTCCTGGACACGGGAGCAGGAAGAAGGAAGCCTGGAACAATCACTCCCTCCTGAGTTCTCCTTTCAGGCACTTTTCCCTCTACACTTGGGGGAAGTGGTCAAGGCCCATATAAAATTCTTGGCCGGGTTCACTTCACTGTAACCAATGAGATGCCTGGTGGGGAAAGAAGCCAAGGCACTTTGGCGCTGATGCAGCATCCTTGTATTCTCCTTCCCTCCTTTCACCCTGGAAACCAGGGCCAACCATGCAAAGATGGCCATCGGTGAGCCAAGGAGAGGGGCCTCGAGAATCCAGTCCAGAGGGGTCCAGTTCTGGAGAACTATCCCTCCTCACACCCTGCCCTTAATTGTGTTACATTTTGTGTAGTTTCCTATTCTAATTTCTGGAAAGGAGTACACAAAATTAGTAGTTTATTCATTTCCTCTCTGTCTCTTTGGGGGGAAGTGGGAGGAGGTTACTCCTGCAGTGTTCAGGGCTTATTTCTGGTTCTATGCTCAGGGATGACTCCTAGAGGTATGCAGAAGAAACATTATCAGTGGCAGGGATGGTTAACCGCAAGGCAAACACCTTAGCCTCTGTATACCTTAACCTCTGTGGCTCTGGTGTTCTTTAGACAGCTGATAGAATTCTCCAGAGAAACAATTTGGGTCTGAAGATTTCTATTTCAGGAGCTGTTTAAATATGAATACCATTTCTTAAAAGTAATGACGCAGGGCAATTCACATAGATGATTTTATATTAGTGAAATCATAATACAGTATATTTTGTCATTGGGAAGTTTGTCTTAAGATTTGTCCGACCCAGGTTCAATTCCTCCGCCCCTCTCGGAGAGTCCGGCAAGCTACCAAGAGTATCTCGCTCGCACTGCAGAGCCTGGCAAGCTCCCCATGATGTATTCGATATGCCAAACACAGTAACAAGTCTCACGATGGAGACGTTACTGGGTCCACTTGAGCAACTTGATGAACCACGGGAGGACAGTGCAGTGCAGTTTTATCTGCACAGTCTATAGCAATAGTTCATTTTATTACTGAACTTTTTAATTTTTATTTTTCTCTTGTCAGTCTTGCTAAAGGGTTGTCAACTTTACTGACCCTTTCATTTTTTTTTCTGGTGCCTCACACATGTAAGGCATGAATGCTGCAGTGAGCTATATCCCAACTCCTTGATCTTTCCAAAGACTGTTTCACTATTTTCTCTACTGCTTTCATTTGCAATTTCATTTATTTCTCATCTTTTCATTCCACATATTGTCTCCGCTTGTTCTGGTTTCATTTTTGTTCTTCTTTATTGGTTCCCAAGATAGAAATATTGATTATTCATCTGGAACTTTTCATTTGCAATACTCTGGTGCTATAATTTAACCTGTCAGCACTATGCCATCTGTATTATACACATTTTAGGATAGTACATTTTCAGTTTGGTCCATCTATATTTTACTTTATTTATTTATTTGGCCACACCAAAAAGCAGTGCTGAGGGCTTACTCGTGGCTCTGCACTCAGCAATTACCTCAGTGAGCCTCGGGGGAACCCTACATGTTGCCAGGGACTGAACCCTGGTTGGCCACATAAAAGGCAAGTGCCATTCTTGTTGAACCATTGTTCTGACCATGAGTCCATCTTTATTTTAAAACTTTCCTTCTGATTTACTACTTTAAGCTGTAGGTTACTTGTTTGTAAGTTATTTCATTTGCAAATACTTTCATTTTGGTAAGAAAACACATAATATTTTAAATTTGGTAAGATTTGCTGCATGACCCATGATATGGTTAATATGGTTTACTCTCCACAGGGACTCACAAAAGAATGCGCAGTCTAGGGCCGGAGCAATAGTACAGCAGGTAGGGTGTTGGCCTGGTATGCAGCCAGTTGGGTTCAACTTCCAGTGCCCCATGTGGTCCCCTGAGCCTGCCAGGAGCAATGCCTGACTGCGGAGTCAAGAGTAACTCCTGAGCTGGGTTTGCCACTCACCCCTCCAAAAAATACAAAAAGAAAAACACAACCAAAAAAAGAATGTGCAGTCATCTTGGGCGGAATGTTCTAGAAATGATGAGATGCTCCTGGTCCATGATGATGTTAATTTCCTATACTCTTGTTGACTTTCTGTCTAGTATTTCTATCTGTAGCTGAGAAAGGATGTCAAAGCCTCTACATAATTGTGACTTTGTTCATTTCTTTTTTTAGTTCTATCAGTTTTCAGTTCTACCAGAAATTAAGATTTCCAGGAGAAACCCTGCTCTCTCTTGAGCTGGGGAGGTTCAAAGGGCTAAAGTATATGCATTGCAAGTGGGAGAACTGAAATAGATCCTCACCGCTGCCTGGTCTCCCAAGGTGTGACGTTACCCTCCAACACCACCAGGTGTGGCCCTAACAAACTGTTATGTCTTTTTGGAAGATCAACACCTTATTATTTTTTTTTTCTTTTTGGGTCATACCCGGTGACGCTCAGGGGTTACTCCTGGCTCTGCACTCAGGAATCACTCCTGGCGGTCCTCGGGGGACCATATGGGATGCTGGGAATTGAACCTGGGTTGGCCGTGTGCAAGGCAAATGCCCTACCTGCTGTGCTATTACTCCAGCCCCAACACCTTATTATTATGTGTGATTCTGCATCTTCTTGACCACAGCGAGAACTCTAGAACTGATCCTGTGTGCCTGTTTCTGAAATGCTGAGAGTCCTGACCGAAGGGGAGCCTGCTGCACTGGTAATGTAAACCACGTGCTGACTCCCATCAATCTCCTACTCTCATTTTCCCCTCGATACAGTTCTTCCTCACCATTCTTTTCCTTTATTCTTTTATTCTTTATTCTTTTATATATCTTTTAGATATATCATTATCTAAGTTGCCTTTAATCCCTTTTGGGAAGAGCGGATAAATACAGACACATAAAGGAGAAATTTTCTATGTGTGAAAAGTAACAAGACTGGGGCCAGAGCGGTATGGTCCCATATGGTCCCCCAAGCACCACCAGGAGTAATTCCTGAGTGCAGAGCCAGGAGTAACCTGAGCATCGCTGGGTGTGTCCCAAAAAGCAAAAAAAAAAAAAAAAAAAAAAGACAGGAGCTGGAGAGATAGCACAGCAGGTAGGGAGTTTGCCTTGCACATGGCAAACCCGGGTTTGACCCCTGGCATCCCATATGGCCCCCCAGGCACCACCAGGAGTGATTTCTGAGTGCAGAGCCAGGAATATCCCTGAGCATCACTGGGCGTGGCCCCTCAAATAAAACAAAACCAAAACAAAACCCAACTAATAAAAGATAATATAAGTACTCACTCAATCTGAACCAATGCTCTCTGCTGGGCCAGGTTGCATGAGTACTCTAAGAAAACTAACTGGGGTGGGTCAGAGAATAGTACAGCAGATAGGGCATATCTGCCTTGCACCAGGCCAATCTGAGTTCAATCCCCAGCCCCCCATACAGCTTTCCAATCTCTAGGGATCCTCTAGGAGTCATTCCTGAGCCCAGAGTCAGGAGTAAATCTTAAGTAACTCTGGGTACCATCCCCCACCCCCAAACCCAAAACAAACAAAAAGCAACTGGGGCTGGAAAAATAGTATAGCAGGTAGGGTACTTGACTTGCAGGTGGCTAACCCAGCTTCAATTCCTGTGGCTAATGCAGGTTCAATTCCCGGCATCCCACACAGCGTCCCACACGGTCTCCGCACCCCACCAGGATTGATCCCTGAGTGCAGAGCAAGGATAAGTCTTGTGCACAGCTGGGTGTGGCCCAAAAAACAAACAAAAAACCACAACTATAAGAGGGCTGGTGAGAATGGTCGACTGAGTTCAATCCCTGGAATTCCAGATGGTCCCAAGCCCTGCCAGGAGTAAGCCTGAGTACTGTCAGTAAGGGAGGAAGGGAGGGAAATAGTAAAAACAAGCTCCTTGACCTCAAAGAGTCGAAATAAAAAGTGATGACCAAATACATAACGGGACAGTGGTCAGCTAAAACAAGCGGGGAGCAATACAGTGGATAGTTTGCAACACTGTTGGCAACAGGCTATATAACAATGAGCCTCCCAGCTCCATACTGGGCCATGTGTACTCTGTGTGTGTGTGTGTGTGTGTGTGTGTGTGTGTGTGTGTGTGCGCGCGCGCACGCACGCGCCTCACTTGGCAGTACTAAGGGACCAGTTCAGTAGAGCTGGGAGATCATATGAAGTGCCGGGGATTGAACTCAGGTCAGTCACATGCAAGGCAAGAGCATTACCAGCTGTCCTATCTCTCTGACCCCCCACCGCCTAACATTTTCCTAACAGCTCCTACAGCTTCCCTTACCCACGACTCCATTTAACAATGTCATCCATTTTCCTTTCTTCAGCTAACCAACAGGTCCTAAACATAAGCAATCCGGCTCTCAGGCCTGGTTCTCAGAGTTGAGTGGAAGTCCTTGAACTTAGGCTTCTGGCAAAGCAGCCTAATTTCTCTAGGAAGACCAAAGAAACCAGCAAGATACTTAAGAACCAAATTATACACATGCAATAATTACAATGGTGTTATTTAACATGTGAAAGTAATTGAAAGGGAAAACGCAAAACTAAAAATATTCTTAGGGTGGTGAGACTCTGGTGATTCTAAACTGTTATTTGTTTTTGTTGTTTTTTTTTTTTTTCCGCTTTTTGGGTCGCACCTGGCAATGCACAGGGGTTACCCCTGGCTCTGCACTCAGGAGTTACTCCTGGCGGTGCTCAGGGGACCATATAGGATGCTGGGAATCGTACCTGGGTCGGCCGCATGCAAGGCAAACGCCCTACCCGCTGTGCTATCTCTCTAGCCCCCAAAGCTGTTATTTGTTTTTAAATGTCGCAGAAAGAGAACTCGAGAGGGCAGAGGGCCTGCTTTGCATGCAGAGGCTGGGTGCAATCAGCTACTGATCCCTGAGAAGAATTGATGGAGGTGGACAGGGGTATAGGGTGGATGCACAAAGGGCAGGAGGCTGAGCGGACTGAGCACCCAGTCAGGTGGCTGGGCAGATCACACATCACACCGAGCTTCCCATACTCGAGAAAAAAGAGCCTGCGGCGCAGCACACAGCAAACAGCGGCAAAAGCAGAACTGGACTGAGAGTTCACATCCTCAAAATCTAGGCCATGATGCTCTGCATGCTGTTTTCAGGTTCCAGCTTCTGACTGATGACAAAGGGACTGCTCACACGGTGGCTACGCCTGGGCCAGACAGACACCAGAGGCTGACATACCATTCATATTCCAGGTAAAGGCATCCCGAAGCTTCTGCCCATCGATCTCCATATCCAGGCGGATGGGGACCAACACCTCGGGCTGGGATGCGTTCTCATGGATCACAGCTGGGTCATGGTCATCAAAGCTGGAAATAGAGTGGCAACAAAGTCAGCGAAGGGGCACTGTGGGTCCCTATGCGCAAGGAGTCTCTTGTACCACGGGTGACAGGCAGCACACCTGGCTGGAAGGGAAAAGTCCATATCCTACTAGAGACCTGCCAATGAATGGCAAAGTCAGCAGAATCCTAGCCAGCGGGGGTCTCCAGGGCACAGAACGGAGCTGCCACAGACAGAGATGCAGGGAGAGCAAACAGAACATGCTGAGACTGGCTCTGTGGTATGAAGAGACGGAAACCTGTCATGACTGTAGCCTGAACACAGGCACAGACAGACTAGCTGGGTCCTGGGATGGTCAAACTTGCAGGCAGGATCTAACAGAGAGAGCTAGGCATGAGACTGAGGGCCAAAGGCCAGACTGGAAAAACGGTCCCCAGAATACATCTATACCCTAACCCTTGACAACCCGTGACAATTAGCTTCTATAGCAAAACAAACAAAAAAACCTCTACAAATATGATTAAATCAAGAAATTTTCAGACACAAGACAGCAGCTACGTCACTGGCCTTGCATACAGTCACCCAGGGTTCAACCTCCAGCACCACGTGAGCTCCTGAGCACCGCCACGAGTGATCCCTGAGCAAAGCCAGGAGTATGCTCTAAGCACTGCCAGGTGTGACCCCAAAACAAAACAAAAACAATCATAGAGATCATCCCAGGGGCCTTAAATTGCAGCATGTGTTCTTACAAGAAAGATAAACAGTGGGAAATTGCACATACAAAGAAGAAGGCCACTGCTGACCACAAAGGCAGACTGGAATGATACAACCCCAAGCTGAAGAACACCCACAGCAAACATAAGCAGGAAGTTTCAGAAGCAGGATCCCCTCAGAAGTCATAGAAAGAGCATGGCCTGGTTAAGACTTTGTGGCCCAAGGAAAAACTGACTTCTAGAAATATTAAAAGAATAAGCATTGGGGCCAGAGCAATAGTACAGTGGGTAAAGCGTTTGCCTTGCACACGGCCGACTTGGGGTTGATCCCCAGCACTCCAGACAGTCCCTGAGCCTGCCAGGAGTTTTCTCTGAGCGCAGAGCTGGGTGTGGCCCAAAAGCTAAAAAGAAAAGCACAGAAAAAGAATACAAAAGCCACCCAGTTTGTGGTGACATGGGCCAGCAGCCACAAGAGAGTAACATTACAGAAGTGACACAGAAGGCATTTAAAGCTGGCAGGGAAAAAGTCTAAAGCAGAGCACCCCCGGGAAACCCCTGGGAAGTGCTGGAGAAATGACATCGCGGCGAGGCGAGCACAGGCAAAGCAGAGCAGACACCGGGCAGGGTGGGCACAGCTCCCGGGAGGCAAGAGTGGAAGCACTTTCCTGGGGAAGAAGGCACTGACGCTGTGGGGAGGTAGGGGGACTGAGGGCACGCACTCACCACAGAGGGAAGGTCCTCTTCTTGTCCCGGCCCATGCGGTTCCTGTTGATAGTTGTGGAACACGGCACAGCGTCCAGATGGTGGGAGCTGTTGGGCAGGGTGGGCACCCACTGGCTGTTCCTCTTAGCTTTCTGTTCCCTGGGAGACACGGGAAACACTGCATCAGTTTAGCAGCCCAGTACAGCCACAGGGCGTCACGTTCACTGGGCACCCACTGGGCCCCTGCAGGGCTCCACGCTCTCGTGGGGACTCTGTGCACCCCAACCCCTGCAGGATTCCTAGCACCTGCCAAGAGGCGCTGAGGTCAGGAAAAGAGGACCAAGAGTCTCAGTCACAAGGTCAAAGAAAGTTCTAGGCCTGGTTCCAGAGATGCCACATCCCTTTGAAACTGACTTGAGTTTCCCTGCAGGGGCACTGCAGGAAGAATCCTGGTGGCAGCAGGGAAGGGGCACGGGCAGGTCTAGCGCTTGGGGCGGAAAAGATGCGAACAAAGGGTTCTGACCCAGGGTGGCCTATTCCATGAGCAAGTGACAGGGGGCCCAGCGACTCCTCATTGACGTGAAGGGAGATATGGTCGGACTGGTGATACAGACTTGGAGGCCACACCTTGGCAGTGGTGCCAGGGACCAAACTAAGGGCCTCACACAGGATCTCCCTGTGTGATCACCTCCGCCCTCAGACTTATTTTAGATGAATGGGCCCATCCGGGGCGTGGCTCTGGTTTCCTGGCTTCTAGGACAGTAGAATTAAGACGATCCATTGTTAAATGCTTTCTAGGAAATGATGCTCAAAGCCATTTAAGTAACCAGGTCCTATAAAGGGCTCATTCTCTGAATCACAGATGGATTTTGCTACAAGAAAAACACCAAAAGCTTTGTTATGCAGGCATTCAGCGGGTATCTAAGACACAAGACTGCCCCAATTCCCACTATCGTCTCTGACAGTAGCCTCCCCTGTGAGCAACATGAGGGTAGGGCCAGGGCATGACACACCCTCATATTCCCAACACGCACAAGTCTTCTTCAACCATCTGCTACAGTTCAGACGGTGGTGTTGCTGCAGTTGACTTTTGGCCAATGAAAACCTGCTGAAGGGGTGAGGGGCAGGGGTCAGTACCCTTCTTGCTACAGCTGCTGAAGGCAGGACTTTTATGGCCAACTTTACCTTAAGTGACACCTGAGGAAAGAGGGGATGTGGGACTAACCTGGGTTGAAGCTACGGGGCCCAGGTTTCCAAGGTAACTTACCTGGCAGCTTCTAGTCCTGACCAAAAACTCACACAGAGCCAACTATGAAGCAGTGAATTCCTAGCCCCTCCTCAAGCAAGTGATTCTTGTCTCAGGGGCGTGCCCAGGAAGATGAATTCCTCACAAATTCCAGGACCGGGGCTGGAGCAATAGCACAGCGGGTAGGGCGTTTGCCTTGCACGCGGCCGACCCGGGTTCGATTCCCAGTATCCCATATGGTCCCTTGAGCACCAGCAGGGGTAATTCCTGAGTGCAGAGCCAGGAGTAACCCCTGTGCATCGCCAAGTGTGACCCAAACCCCCCACCCCCAAAAAAAATTCCAGGACCATGCCGGTGTGGCTGGGCCTATATTTGGAAACCACAGGTCTAGACTGCCCATTTTCACACTCAGCTTTTCCAAATGTGGACACTGAGGCTCCTTTAGGCCCCAGAGTCTGACCTCCTCTCCACAGGCGGTCTCAGTTCCAGGCCTCGGCCACTCTGCCAAGCCCTTCTGTGTAGTAGCTGTCACAAATGTTGCCTGAGAGTGAGCGTAAAGACAGGGTCAGAGAACATGGGAAGCTGAGTCAAGTGACCTTCCTCCACTGCCACCAGGCCTGCCCATGAGCCTCAAGCCTCAGCGGGACAATGGGTGACAGGGAACAGAGGCACTGGCCCTCCTGTGAGGCTGACTGGATTGTGGAAGGCACTTCCTGTGTGAGGAGCACTTCTCCCCTCACAGGTCTCCCCCCACCCCGTCCCCCCGCCCCCCCATACGCAACTGTTCCCTCAGCTGTTCTTCACATGACACGATCATCAAGAAAGTGTTTACCACCCCATAAAGATTACTGCTGACATGTGCAGACTTGAAAGTCCCATCCATGTGTACACAATTTGCTTCCGCCACTTCCCCAGGAAAGTCTAGCCATCCCTGGGGGGAAAGAATCTGCAGAGCACACATCCAACTGGCCAGGCTGGATGCCCACTTTTTTTTGGGGGGGGGGGGGGGGGGAGGTTAGTATAAAAACAATCCAAGAGCACAGATGAGAGAAAATCTGGATGAAATGATTCTCCATAACCACATCACTCTGAAAATTAACCCTCTACCCTGAGTTTTTGTGCACATACTTGCCACGTTTCTTTGAGAGCTGAGAGTGTAATATAGGGATTCTTCACACGTCACTCGGGAACTGTATCTAGGGCCATGCAAGAGGGATACAGAAGAGACACGGGAGAGAATTCTTCCGTACCACAGATGCCTCAGAGGAGGCCGAGTCCCTCAGGTAGCTGCTGCTTCTCTCACTCGGCCTGTCCCAAAAGGACTGGAAAGTTCTGATGACTGTATTTCCCATGATTATTCACAATGCTACAACAGACATCTCTGTACAAAGAAAAGCTCTTGTTGTTGTTTTTTTAGGACAAACTCCCTAAGGCGAAATTAACGGGCTAGAGAACAAAAAGACATTTGATGTCATGTTTCACAGAAGGCCAGGCTGTGATCTGCCACCACAGCCCCGCGACTACACCATCTCTGTCATGCACTTTCAACGCTCTATGCTGCCAGATGCTTCTTTTTTCACTTTGAATTTTAAAAATTACATCAAGGGCAAAGAGTGTTCCCTATCTTTTTTTGGTTTCCTGTTGTTGTTCTGGGGCCACACCCAGTGATGATCAGGAGTCACTCCTGGCTCTGCACTCAGGAATCACTCCTGAGTAGTGCTCTGAAAAGCACATGGGATGCCAGTATTGAACCTGGGTTGGCTATGTGCAAGGCAAATGCCCTACCTGCTGTATTATCATTCCAGCCATTTATTTGCTCTATTTCTGGTATAAGTCACCCTTTTCCCAATCTACCTACTGGGGTAACCAAATGATTCTGATAAATCTGAATGAGCAGACTCTTTGTATAACACAGCCACTTTCTACTTAGTTCCCAGTTAGTTTCAATAAATACTGTGTAGGAGTGAGCTGGAGCAAAGCACAGGGAGTAAGGCATCTGCCTTGCACATGGCCGACATGGCCAACCCAGGTTCGAGTCCTCCGCCCCTTTCGGAGAGCCCAGCACGCTACCAAGAGTAACTTGCTCTCACGGCAAAGCCTGGCAAGGTACCCGTGACATACTGGATATGCCAAAAACAGTAACGAGTCTCACAATTTGTTGTGAGATATTACTGGTGCCCGCTCAAGCAAATCGATGAACAACGGGAGGACAGTGCTACAGTGCTACTGTGTAGGAGTGATAGTACAGTAGGTAGAGCGTTTGCCTTGCACATGGCCAACTCGGGTTCAATTCCTGGCACCCCTGAGCATTGCTGGGTGTGGCCCCAAAAGCAAAAAAAAACAAAAACAAAACGAAACACAAACTAGGCTGAAGCCATAGCACAGCGGTTAGGCCGTTTGCCTTGCACGCGGCCAACCTGGGTACGATTCCCAGCATCTCATATGGTCCCCTGAGCACTGCCAGGAGTAATTCCTGAGCGCAGCGCCAAGAGTAACCCCTGAGAATCGCTGGGTGTGAGCCAAAAAGGGAAAAAAAAACCCACAAACAAATACTGTGTAAAGGCTCTAAGCCTATGCAATTACATCTTGATTTCTTTTGAGTTTATCAGGGCCACTAATTTTCCTAACAGATTAGTCCCACATGCAAAGCATTCCTATCAACTCTCCAGAATCCAGGTCTCTGTTTATACTTCTAAGAAATTCCAAAGATAGAGAAGAAACTCAGAAACCTGGATAAGGCTATTTGTAAGCACAGTGGGTAAAAGTATTTCAGCTCAACTTCAGCACAGTTCACAGCAGAGCATGAGAAAGACACAGTGTCGTGGGGGCCCACCCTGGCCCCCTGGGATTACCTGAGGTAGGTGGGGGGCTCCGTGCTGATGGACACGGCCTTATACTTCTCATCATTGCCATCCAGAATCTCTTCCACTTCTGAGGCTTTCAGCAAGGTCACACTGGTAGCCAGGGTGGTGTAACCGTGATCTGCAACAGAGATGCCGCTCCCATCATCATTCTGGTGGGTCCCGAGGCAGCAATAGCCAGTCAATGCGGCACATCAAGGTCCTCGCATGCAGGAGGTGGGAAAAGCAGGTGTCGACCTTACTACTGCTGAATGCTGGCCTCTTCCAAAAGGGCAGTCTGGATTGAGTCCTTGATTTCGAGGTCCTACTAAGTAAACACTCCCTTAGGACTGGAACTAATTTGTCAGGAGCGCCCTGGCTCCGGGCAGAGGAAGTACACACGGCAGGGACAACTGTAGCACAGTGCGGCCCATGGGGCCAGTGAGGGCACAAGGAAAGCTCCAGAGTAATACCACCAGTGGGAAGAGGTCTGACACCATTGCAATCACGACACGAAGCAGAGTGGAGAGATGGAATGAGAGATGGAAAAGATTTTTCTTTTAAAGCAAGAGCCCAGAGAGTTGCAAACAGCTGCTACATGTAGAACACCAATTTCTGGGCCTGCGCCAGGCAACACACACTTTCTGGGAAGCAGGACAGATCGTAGGCCCCGTGACCCACAGCTCTTCTGGGGAACCTCGGCCAAAAGCTGTGACCTGTCTGGAGGCTCAGCCCAGCTTCTCCTGGAAAAACAGTCAGTTAGGAGAAGAGTCTCCGAAGCACGAGGCTGAAGAGTCAGCAGCTTGCAGAGGGGAAAGCAAAGCTGAGAGCTCACGCGTTAGTGACTGATGCTCTACCGAGGGGTGGAGATAAAGGGCAAAAAAAAAAAAAAAGACTTTTTGAAGCGAGGGACTGGAAATGTTACAGCAGCAGATTTAAAAGGGGGGAAAAAGCTCTGGCTCCTGCATTAAAAGAACCTCTACAACACCCACAATGGACAAGACCACAGCAACACCTACAGGTACAATCAAACGAACAGACTTCACACAGGCACCCACGCACAAGCATGTACGCGCATATGAATTCACGCACGCGCGCACATTCGTACACGCACGCACACAGGACTTTGGGCGAATCTTCACCTCGGCCCAGGGCAGCTCTCTACAAGGTGCCACTGCCAAGTGGGAAGCTGTGTCCCCACCAGCCAAAGTCATGGCACCTCCAGACCCCAATTGATGATAAGACTGTCCCCAATGTGAGGTGGGTCGGGCCCCTGGGTGTGTGAAAAGCAGCCTGTCACCCTGCACAGAGCTGCCACACGGTGGGCGCTCCGTGAGCATGCCCACGCACGCCTCGGCATGAGGAAGGGCGCATGCACACGCGCTCAAGCGCACCATGGCCAGAATGGAGGACGAGGGGATGGAAGCCAAGCGGTGAAAGCCCAGGGCAAGTGGGCGCGGGGGCCACCACCTGCCGCTCGGGCCGCATGGAGGGTGACGATGGCAATACACCCACAGCAGATGGCAGAGCATCACAGCATTCCAAAAACGTTTTGAGACCAACTTGTCTTCACCGCATCTGCTGCCGTCCCAGCTCACGCCCCTCTCCCGCTGATCCAGGACCACCACTGGCTACCTGAGCCCTCGGACAGGCGGGTGGCGCCTCTGGTCCTGGGATGCTCCCTGGCGCACTAAGGTCATGGGCAGCAGTGAAGACACTCTGGAGTAAAAACGTTTTATCCTCATGACATAAGCGAGTGGTTTTGAAACAGGTTTACAAACCCTCGTGAAGACGCACCCTTAGTGTTAGGTTTTGTTTTTTTACCATGTGACGATGCAACTATTTTCTTCCTCTCTTCCACAGTGGCTAGCCGCCTCCAGAGTGAGGGGTACCTCTTGTACAGAGAACCTCGGAACATACGAAGGTAGTTCCCCACCTATGAGTAAAGCAAGAAGGCTCATTATGAGGGTCAGGTCTCCACACGGAAGTGGGGGATCCTGGTATAGAGGTTCCACTGGATCGAGTGTCAGACAAACAGACCTCCATAAAATCACATTCTGCTGACAGCGAGGGTTCAACAGCAGTGCACATCTGGCCCCCATCTGCCCTTCTATGCGGGGGGAATAACATCTGCATCCTGACAATAGAACTGAGGTCCCAAAAGGCCTGACCAATGCATGAGAGGAGGGCCCCTGAGTTCAACAAGAAGCCCCCAGAGTGCACTGAGAAGCTGGCAGTGATTTGGATTTGGGAATAGGGATCTCTGGCACTTTCTAGAAATATAAAGCCTCTTTGACTCTCTTTTATCTTAAGAACAGGACTTTGATACTTTTACGAGGCAATAAACACCAAAAAAGCCTTTAATTTCAACCAGATGCTGGGTAATTTCCCCCATGGCCCCTGTTGCTTTGTTTAGTAACAAAACCCCAACCAGGAATACCAAAGGAATTTTCCGAAGAGTTTAAAAAGCACTTATCAGCAATCACCAGATTGCTACATAAATCATTACAACCCCCGAACAATAGTTTCAGTTGACTTGTGCCAAATACTCAAATATGACTTCCTTAATGAAATGAAACTGTGTGCTAATGTTTTTATAAAGACGTCCCTACTACCTCCCTGACCTTCCCAAAATGATCACTGTACCACATTCAAGGGGAAGGTCGCCCAGGGGTCCGGCTCCACTCGTACTTGGGAATCATCTCCTCTCTAGGGGCCTCCTTACTCATGTCAAGTGCTCCGCGACTAACTTTCACCCCACCTTCACACCTATCACTCCCATCTACCTTTGTAGCATGGTATATGTGGTCAATAAAAATGCTTCTGCAAAGACACAAGATTTCCACAAGGAAAACCAGTGTTGCAGTACAGCAGAAGAGCACACACAGCGAGTGGCCTGTGTGTCACGCACAAAGCACAAAGGCCTTTCAGCTCTTTGGCTTCTGTGACGTTCCTTCCCACCCAAGGGGAGAGGTACCACTGGGTTTTTGAAAGCAAGTGACAAGAATGCACCTCCTCCACGCCCTTTCTCCCCCCGCCACACACACACACACACACACACACACTCTCACATACGCACTCCCTCACACACACACACTGTAGTTCAGCAGGGCTCCAGAACTCCCAGACCATTCTCTAAGTCTTAGAATTTAGAAGACCTGGGCTCCCATTCCTGGGTTTTCCCTAAACCATCTTTACCCTCTCTGTACCTGGGTTCCGCAGTGTAAAATGAAGGTATAGACTGGCGAGCATATAGGAAGCCCCGGCTGTTCTCTGGCTTGGTAACTTATGGCTGCCAGCCTAAGGCAGAATAGTGTCCCACATGTACTGCCCATATGGATATGCCCATCTCCCTGCTGACCCCTCCACCTCTGTGTCTTAAAGGTGCTGGGTACATTGCAATGCCGCTTCTCTGGTCACTATGCCCAGAGGATCCTCTAAAGATTGGGTCTCAAACAAACAACTGTTTCTGCTCACTGGGACTCAAAGAGAAGACTGGAGTCAGTGTTACAGAAACTAAAACCTGTGCTGAAGATGAACTTCATCAAAGCCTCTCATGAGACATGTGAGCTGTGACTGGGATGTAGAGCGGTCCTAGAACCAGGTCTCTTGACAGTCTGGTCACCTTGCCACATGCTTCCTCTTAATGCGCTCCAGCTAAGAAATAAATTGCTGTCCACTCAGAATCAAGGCCACTGCTCTTCCTGACTATGGGTCAGATGAGGGTTTCTTTAAGCCTCCCCCAAGTTGCATACTGAAACTCCTCAGTTGCCTCTCATAGCCCACATTTAGACAGGTGCCTGCCAAGCCAAGAGGATCATTCTGCACTAAGGCAAATGAACAGCACTGGCTCCATTTCTCCTGCACTTGTGTGTTAACATTAAAACACTGGGACCTGAGCAAAAGAGAGCAGGTAGGGCACTTGCCTTGCATGTGGCCAATCTGGGTTCTATCCCTGGCACCCCACATGGTCCTCCAAGTCCTGCCAGGAGTGATCCCTGAGCACAGAGCCAGGAGTAAATCCTGAGCACAGAAAGGAGTCACCCAAAAACAAAAAGAATGCATCCTGCCCTTCTTTAGAAAAGCTAGTAGGGCTAGAGAAAAAGCATAGGAGTAACAGTGCTTGTCTTGCATGCGGCTAACCCTAACACATGCTCCCCCTCCCCAAGCACTACCTGATCTGGCACAAACCTCCTCCTTAAAAAAACAAACAGGGGGGGCTGGAGCGATAGCACAGCGGTAGGGCGTTTGCCTTGCACGCAGCCAACATGGCCGACCCGAGTTCGATTCCTCCGCCCCTCTCGGAGAGCCCGGCAAGCTACCGAGAGTATCTCGTCCGCACGGAAGAGCCTGGCAAGCTCCCCGTGATGTATTCCATATGCCAAACACAGTACCAAGACCCAAAACATAAACAAAACAGAAATTCTATATCGCCTAAAAAAAAAAAAAAACAGGGGCTGGAGCGATATTCCAGCGGGGAGGGCGTTTGCCTTGCACGCGCCAACCCGGGTTCGATTCCCAGCATCCCTTATGGTCTCCTGAGCACCGCCAGGGGTAATTCCTGAGTGCAGAGCCAGGAGTAACCCCTGAGCATCGCTGGGTGTGACCCAAAAAAGAAGAAAAAAAAAACTGAGCAAACAAAAAAACTGGTTGTGATAGGGCCATAGGAATAGTACAGCACTAGAATGCTTGCCTTGAGGGTAGCCGACCCAGCTTTGACCCTCATCATCCCATATGGTCCCCCAAGCAATGCTAGGGGTGATCCCTGAGTGCAAAGCCAGTAGTATGATCTGAGCATTTCCGCCCTGAGTATTTCCAGGTGTGACCCAAAAGCAAAACAAACCAAAAAATTTTTAAAAATCTGGTGAAAATGGCTATACTTAAGTCCTGACAGTACTGACATTGGTCTGATCATCAAACACAAGTAAAAGTCGAGCCAGAATTATAAGGGGTCTAGAAAGCCTCGGTGGCCTTCATGAAGCTGTTATTGTGAAAAAAAAAAAAGAGAAGCAAAAAATGGGGGGGAGGGAAATGGTATGAAATTTGGGCATAAGACATTGAACACTGCTTCAAGAAAAGGCAACCTCTGACATTTTTTTGTTGTTGTTTTTAGAGAGACCACGCCTGGAGGTGCTGGGATGAGGATGCCACCGGGCCAGGTTGAACTCAGGGCCCCCACCTCCCAGGCCCCACTCCCTGGCATTTGGTTATTAGCTCTCCAGGATCCACATACTCACCTCTTGGTCTCAGGGAGCCTCGACTGCTTAGTAAGTGCATATCGCATCGGATTTGTACTGGGGAGGGGAGGGGAACAGAGGAAAAAAAGGAAAAGGCAGGGGAGGCGGGGAGGAAGGAAGAGCTAGCAGTGCTAGAAATCAGTTTGGAACCCAGAGCTTTAGGACAGCACGTAGGGCGTTTGCCTTGCACGTGACCGACCCGGTGCGATCCGCATCCCACATGGTCCCCAAGCACGAGTAATGCCTGAGTGCAGAGCCAAAAGTATAGCCTTGAGCATTGCGGAGTGTGACCCAAAAAGTGGGAAAAGAGAAAAAAGATCAGTTTTGTCTGACAGTATTTATATTGAATGTCTGTGAGTACGGGTCTAAGTGTTAGTGAAAGCAGGAGCTGGTGACTGTCTTCAGACAAAAAGAAACAAACAAACAAAAAAGCCATCATCTGAGGCCCCCTGAAAGAGCAATCTGTTTCGCACAGGCTCCCAGGGAAGAACCAGAGCCCGGCAGGGTTTTCCTACACCGAAGTCGTGCCGCTGCCACCTCTAGTCCGGGTCCTTCCCCTGCGGTGACCCAGGGTCGGGCCGAAGCGTTCGGTGCTCGGCGCGCCTGGGCCGGTCTCGTCCAGGGTCCGAGAGGCCGCCGAAAGCCCCAGGCCAGCATCCTCCTCGGCCCCCACTTCCCGTCGGTCCCGTCCCCCGTGTCCTGGGTCGGGGTCCCAGAAGCGGCCGCGCGGGGAGGCGGCGCAGGGGGCCTCCCCGACCCACCCTGTCCCTCGGCGGAAGGGGCCGGGGCCGGGGGCCGGGGGCGCGCCGCGGGGGAGGCGGCGGCGGCGGAGGCGCGGGGCGGAGCCGCCGCCCCGCCCCTCCCGCCCCGCCCCGCCGCGCCGCGCCCGCCCGCCCGCGCGCCCGCCCGCCCGGGATGAATGGGGACGCGCGCGCCCGGGCCGCAGCCGCGCCGCCCGCGGGGCCGGGGCCGGGCCGGGGGCGAGGGCGCGCCGCGGGCTACCTCGGAGCCGATCATGTAGAACTCGCCGTCGTCCTCCAGCTGGAACTTGACGGGCTTCTGCCCGAAGGTCTTGCTCAACGCCATCATCATCATCGTGGCGGCGGGGGCGGGCGGCCGGGGCCGGCGTCGAGAGATCGGGAGCACGGAGGCGGGGCCGGGCGGCACCGAGGCCGACAAACGAAAGGCGGGCCGGGCCGGGCCGGGTCTCGCGCTGCCGTCGGATCGGATCCGCCGCCGCCGCCGCCGCCGCCGACTAGGCCGCCGTCGCTGCGCATGCGCGGGCGTTGACGCTAACGCGCGCGCCGCCGCCGCCGCCTAAACAAAGAACTGAGCGCGCCGCCGCGAGCCCCTTAAAGGAGCCACGACCACAGGGCTCTTGCCGGACGCCTCGCGAGCGGAGCCAGGAAAACTTCCCAGGGACAGAAATAGCAACCGAAGGCCTGATCCAGCCGCTGGCTTGCCCCAGTCCCACAGCCAAGGCTAGGAACTCAGCCCAGTGGAAGAGGAACGAAGTAAGGAGGGCTGAAGGACAGGAAGAGGCCGGAGCGACCCGTGCCTCAGTTTACCCACGCGGAAAATGCAACTCAACTGAGTAAATAAGAGAGTCCTGAGTGGGGCGCGCGCACTAGTTGGAGTGTATGCTTTGCGTGTAGGTGCTGGGGTTCCACCCCTGGCACCACGTTATCCCCCTTCTCTTGATTACTGCTGGAAGCGGCTCCTGAACTATATTCCTAAGACACCACTAGGTTTTGCCCAAAAGGAAGGAAGGAAAGAAGGAAGGGAAAGGAAGGAAGGAAGGAAGGAAGGAAGGAAGGAAGGAAGGGAGGGAGGGAGAGTCTGGAGCGATAGCACAGCGGTAGGGCGTTTGCCTTGCACGCGGCTGACCCAGGGTCGATTCCCAGCATCCCATATGGTCCCCTGAGCACCGCCAGAAGTAATTCCTGAGCGCATGAGCCAGAAGTAACCCCTGTGTATTGCCAGGTGTGACCCAAAAAGCGAAAAAAAGAAAGGAAAGATGCTAGAGAGTACAATGGGAAGGAAAGGACGGAAAAAGAGAAAGAAAAAGGGAAGGAAGGAAGCCAGAGAGTACAACAGGAAGGAAAGAAGGAAGGAAGAAATTCTAGATCTCTGAGCAAGGAAGGAAAGAAGGGATGGAAAAAATTGCAAGAGTAGAAAGAATCTAGGAATTCTAGGGAAACATATTCTTGCTCCAGGCACCCTGAGCATGACAACACTGGGTGGGGCTGGCAGAATTCCATCGCCCAGGTACTACTTGGCTTGTCTTGTGCATCAGTTGAGAGTTGCAGGGAGGAGCCTTCTCTGATCCTTCCTTAACTCTTGCTCTGGCCTCCCAACCATCAAGGGATGGTGAGCACAGCTAGCCAACCCTGCCCTGAGGGACTTACAGTCCTGAGAACTAACTGTAAGGAAAGCAGCCAAGTATTCCATGCATGTGGTGGAACTGTACAGTGGGTCAGAAGACGCCCACTGTGGCCTGCTTCCTATGGTCCAGATAGGCAGGCTGTGCCATGGTCATCAAGTGGGAAAGAGCCGTTTAGAGACTTCCACTTTTTAGGACTTACAGGACAGAGCAAGAACAGGCCAAGTGACAACACTTGGTAGAGGATGGTCTGGGGCATATCGGGAGGCTGAGAATGAATGACAAATTCGTAAAGGCATCCAGTTAGATGGAGAACAAGAAGAGTCCTAGGCATTGAACCCAACCCCAAGGAGCAGAGGCCACGGTGGGGTGAAGGCTCCCTTCCATACTACAGGACAGGGCAGCCCCAAGTTAGCCTTTCTACCTCCCTGGCCTGGCTTTCCCACTCCAAAGCTTGCAACCACAGAGAACCAAGGCAGACAAGTAAAAAACCGATAGTGTTTAATGACAATTCTCAGTAAAAAAAAAAAAAAGGCTTTGTACATGCTGTACAGTACACACATTTACATGGCTTTGGAGGGTCCCAGTGCTGGGCTGAGTGTGAGGAGTTGACCCACGATAGGACTGAGGTATGTTGGGGCCTCCAGGGAAGGGCGGGGAGAAAGCAACTGACTCTAAATTCTGGTCTAGATCCCGGGGACCGGATTTCTCCAGGATCACCAGCTGGAAAATAGCCAGTCCCAATGCCTACCCAGAGCTGACTTGGGAAAGGACAGATGTCCTAGAGATCCCAGGTCCCCTGCACCGGCCCCTGCGTCACCTGGCAGAGGGAATGAGCGAGGGCGCCAGCTCCCCGCCCCGCCCTGCCCTGCCCCGCCAAGGTCCTATCCTGAGATACAGGGATGGAGACTGAGGTTCTGATTGTGACCTACACAGGTGGGCAGAGCCCACCCAGAATCACCCTTACCCGTGATTCAAGACAAAGCCTCCTTGCCAATGTGAGGCAGTTGCTGGCAGGTGACCACGACCGGCGTGGTACTCCCTGCAGTTGTCACGGGGGCAGGACCCTCACCCCACCGCCCCTGAGGAAACACGGCCCCCAGTCCTGCCTAGGGCCCACAGCCACAGAGATGGCCACAAGCGGCCAGCTGACATCTGTGATAAGGCACTGTCAGGCCAGGGGCCCCAAGGGCAGCCAAGCTGTGCTTAGCGGAAAGTGTTGGCAGGTTCAGTACAGTCGAAGAAATCAGGACCCACGAGCCGGGGGAAGCCCTCCAGGGCCTTCACCTTCACAGGGTCGAACTTCCAGTAGAGGCGGCCACGCAGGAAATAGGCATAGCCTGTGCAGAGAGAAGGGTCAGGTGAGCAAGTGGACACTGGATCCTGCGCCTATTGGGCTCTGCCCAGGGACCAGCCTTGGCTTGCTGAAAAGCTTGGGACCTGGAGGTTCCAGGTCAGCCCTTCAGAACCTCCGTTTCCTTGGGGAGAGCTTTCTACTGGCCCAAGGGCCGGTCTGGGCCCCACCCCCTTGTAGGTGGGTCACCTACCCTGAGACCCACTCACTGCCCACAGAAAGCATCGCCACTCCCATCACTTCCTTCTGGGGACTTCTCAGGCCCTGCAGTCCTGCAGACAGCCTGGGGAAAGGTGGCAACTCCAGGGACTGATGATCTGTCCTAGAGCAGATCACCACAGGACTACACCCCAAGTGGGCCCTGAAGTGGGTCAGCACAAGAGCAAAGGAGGCAGGGGGCCCTAGGAGAGTACCCAGGGGTGCCGCTCCCTCCTCCAAGCCCTCCAGTTTGTGGGACACCACCTGGGCAGGAGTCTTGGTTCCCCGCAGTTCACCTGGGCAGCCCCAGTTAGGGATCTCATCACCTGACCCTCATTTTGCTCCTCAGGGAACCCAGTTTACAGCATGTGGTGTCCTTGGTACTGGGTTAGATGCAAAGGAGTGCACGGCCTGGTGCTGAGGTGCTGTCAGCCCTCAGCAGGCTGTGGTAATTTTACCACCATCGACCAAAGGCCTCACTGGCCCTCAGCCATGGGACCCCACATACCGTCGGCATCCTGGAAGGCGGCGTCTATCTCTGAGGGCACCCCTCGCCAGTCAGTGGCCCGGCGCGGCACGGGGCTATCCACACGTCGGGTGTTGGGGTGGAAGCGCCAGTAATCCCGGCCCCGGAAGAAGTAGATCTTGTTCTTCTCAGGGCCCCAGACCAAGGCGGCATGGACTGGGGACCCCGGCAGGCCCAGATCAGAAAGCGGGGCGGGGCCCAGGACCGGCTTCTCACCATCGTACACCCAGTACTGGGCACCTGCGGAGAGGAAAGCGGGCATGGAGCAGCCCGCCAGACACACCCCTGTGCTCCACCCTGCTCCCACCTCTTCCCAGCCTCTGTTTACTCTTCTATAAAAGACACGTGGCAAGGCCAAGAGATAAGGTTCTGGAGCACATACTTTGATTGCAGGAGCCCTAGGATTGATCCCTGGTGCTACAGTCCCCAGAGCACCAAGTCAGGAATGAGATCCCCACGCCCCCTTTTTCCAAGCATCAAGCCAGAAGCAGTCCCTGAGCGCGTCAGGGTATGACTACAAAACAAAAGTCAGGACAGGGGATATAGCTCATGTTGTTACGAATACCTCACATATATAAGGTCCTGTGTTTGATCCTCAGCAACACATACACCCACACACACACAACACACACACACACACACACACACACACACCACTACAGGTGCATTGTCTTTTAATAAAAATAAAAAAGGACAGGGCAATTATGCCAGTTGGGCACCTCTATCCCCAGGGGTGCAGGCTTTGAGAGGGAGACAGTGGGGAGGGTTATTCCAAGCAGAGAGGCCACCTGAGCTCCTGTTCCTTACCTCAGTCTTGGGTTGCCAATGGCAAGTGCCTGCTGACCACCCTGGGCACTGCTCCAACTGCAGCAAACCCAGGCAAGGCATTTATGAACTTCCTGCCATCTAGAATATTCCAGGCTTTGGTCTCTGCTACAGGAAGGTGCCTTTATGTCTCTGAGTCCTAGTGGTCTCCTCTCTCAACTGGGAATAAAATCACAGCGGTCCCGAGGGGTGGCTTTGAGGGCTGAGGGTGCCTACATGCGATCTTCTTTCATTTTTAGTTTTTGGACCACAAACAGCTATGCTTAGGAATTACTCCTGACTCTGCCCTCAGGAGTGACTCCTGGCAGTGCTTGGGGGACCATATGGGATGCCAGGGACCAAACCCAAGTTGTCTGGGTACAATACAAGCATGCTCCCCACTGTACTATTTCTCCATCCCCTTTCTCTTACACTCTCCTCCTGAGTCCCCTCCTCCAGAAGTCTGAGGAGTGAACTGTGCCTGCCCTCTACTCACTAGGGTAAGATCATGTCCATCTGTCTGTCCCTACCCTTCTCCTGGCTCCTGGTGAGGGGGTCTCCCAAGTGGGTCTTCCAATAGCCCCGCCCCCCCCCCATTCACCTTGGAAGAACCAGATGTGGCCCTGGGCATCCTCGAAGGCGGCATCCACAGGGCTGGGCAGTCCCTGCCAATGGCGAGAGGCCAGCGCAGGGTAGCCAGGCTGCAGTTGGCCCCTGCGCAGCCGCCACACGAAACCTGCCTTGAAGAAGAAGAGCTCGCCACGGATGGTGGAGACTGCATCAAATGAGACCTCACAGGCGTCCGGCAGGACCTCCGGCTGGGGTGAGAGGGAAGAGGTCACACAGGAGCCACCCAGGAGGCAGGATGGAGGGAGCTGGGGCTGGGACATGCCTCCAGTGTCTCACCTCTAGAGGTGCAATCTCGTTGGTGTCCTCTCCAGCCTGGGGGGCCTGGGTTGGGGGTCTGGAGGTGGG